CAGAAACCATTGAGACTATGGAGCAGTAACTCCGTTCCTGCCACTTACTCATAGCTTCTAACCATTGGGAGATTTTAGAAACACCTGAGCACAAGTCTGTATTCTATTACTATCTTAGCTAACAGCTACTGACCTTGCTTTTCTCCAGGGATGTCTGTTCAAGACTGTAATCCTATCCCCATTTTTATTGGTGCAAGCCCCATTGAACTTAATGGGATGTACTTCTGAATAGGACATGTGCAAGGGTGTGCTATTAATCCTTTTTTCTGGGGGGGGGGAACCCACCACACCCGCAATTTAACATTCTAACACGACAGCAATGTCTGTGACAATGTTCTATTCAGAGATCAAACAGCAGTCTTGAGTATTTATTTAAATTCCTCTCTGCCTCTTCAGGAGCCCCGTTAAGGCAAAATTAACAACTTTCTCCTGTTAACGTCATTATCTCATATGTCTCCTTGGCACTCTTTTCTTGCCCTATAATATATATTTTTAAGCTTAAGTATTATGAAAAGGGATCCCTTCTGCTGATCTGTTCGTTGCCCTTCCGCCATATCCTTCCTCTTTATTCAGAATCATCAGACTGAGATGCTGGTAAAAGTGGCTCAGTGTTGGACACCGTACTAAGAAGTGTGAATGGGCCCTTGTTTCACAGAGTGACATTAAAATACGCGCTCTGCCTTTATTCCAATATTTATAACAAGGATGTCTTTCCTTCATTCCCCACCCACCACAGTCCAGCACATGTGTATTGCTTTGCAATTCCCCACACCAATTTTCATTTGCCAATTTATTGCCGAAGTCACCCAGTTGTGTAATGACCTTCCAGAAGACAGTTATCTCCTCTGGACTTGAAAGCTTTCCTGCTGTAAATGTTTTCCCCTCAGTATTCCTCCCCTCCTTTCTTGAGGTCACAATTGAATATGTTTAACAGCGTTTTCCTCATACAAGTGCTTGCTTCCAACCTCCTATTTGCTCTTTCAGTTTGACAGCTAGGCATTCCCACCTCATCATCATTCTAGCCCTCAACACAGCACATCTCAACAATACACAGAAGCAACACAAGATGGTTAGGCACTTGAGACAGAACAACCAAACGGTGATTTTTTTTTAAAAAAAAAGGTTACATTCACTGTCTGCTTCTTTTTTAAATACCCCCCCCCATCTGCCCAGTGGATACGGTTGACTAGGGCATCAAAAGGTGCAGGATTTATGCAAATGAAACCCTTGTAGGAAAGTTTTTTTAAAAAAAAAAAAACACAGAACAGTTTGCTTGGACTCCCATATTTAAAAACTCATTACTGTACCAATCCACACAAAAAGATTGTCCCTCTTATTCCAGCATGACTTTGTTTTCTTAAAAGCCTCTGATGAAGGGCTTTGTCAAAACCCAATTGCACTAAATCAACTGGCTTACCCTGTTCTACATACTGCATGACATCCTCAGAGAATTTGGATAAATCAGTGAGGTGTCGCTTTCCCTTATTAATCCCACAGTTGACTGTTCCCTGACAATATTTATCTATGAGTCTCATATGTTGTCTAGGCTTCCAGAATTTCTGTGTATTTCTGACAGTAAACAGATCTTGAATCTGGTAGATAAAAACAAGATTCAACGTGAGGAAGGAAATTCAGTTGTGAAAGGAAAGGCATACACTTCATATACATTTTTTTTTTTTAGAAAACACCAGACAATAACCAGGGATATCATTAACTGTGGCAATTTTCTCAAGGAGTGTGTCGGAATTTGCATTAAAGCATCTTGAACATTCAGATCAGGACCGCTGTATATTTTCAACGAAGCAGAACTACTCTCAGAGAAGCCCCTGCTGGAAATGAAAGAGGGTATGCTCACTACCCCGAGTGGCAGAAGAAAAGATAGTTCTATCTCATGGGGTGTGATGTGGGGGCAAAAGGAGCCAGGAGATTAATAAGAGTAGTAATCATCTTAGAACTGGAGAGCTGGAAGAGACCCTAGGGGGGGATCGTCAAGTCCAGCCCCTGTGAGGGAGACACAGGCTGAAGAGCTGGAAGAGACCCTAGGGGGGGTCATCAAGTCCAGCCCCTGTGAGGGAGACACAGTAGGGAATCCAATTCCCAACCTCTGGCTCCACAGCCAGAGACTTAAACCACTGAGCAGTTCTGTGTAAGCTCTGTTGAATAGGTTAAAGCCATAGAAGAACACCCCTGTGCCTTTTTGTTGTTGTTCATTTCTGTAGGTCCCCAGCCAAAAATGCCCTCTTTGGCTGTGCCTTATATCAACTGTTGAAGGGAAGACCTCTTCCATTTGGGGGTTTTCTGCTTCAAGTTCCAAAATATCTCTAAATTTCAGTGGTCTTTTCTGGTTTTTTGCCTGCATGCCAGGACGCTCCATAGCCCTATAAATATAGCAACGTAGGCAGAAAGAACACCACCGGCCCTGCAGCCTAGGGAAGGTGGGTGGGATCCTGTGCCATTGTTCTAAATCCCACACTGCCCAAGTGCTGCGATGAATAGGCTGCTACCCTTTATCGGGAGGAGTGGGAGGATTAAAGGCCAGCTCCCAAAGTGGGACTGACAATTTGCTGCAGAAGATCCTCCAGTGTTCTGGAGAAAAGGAAAGGGAAGACACCCTGGAGGATGGGAAGGATCTGATAGAGGTGTACAAGATTGTGAAAGGTGTGGGAGTAAATAAGGGACCTCCCTTTCCTTTCCCAGCAAAATTGATTGGCAATCGTTTTAGGAGCAGTTCTTCACAAAACACATACGAAACTAATTTACAGAATTCATTACTACAGCATGCAGTGGCAGCTTCTCTATATGTTTGTTCATTTGTTTGGGTTTTTTTTATAAAGGGAATCGGAAAATTAATGGCAGACGGGTCTAGCCAAGATAAACCAAAGGGAGCCTCCGGGATTAAAAGTAGTGTACCATTGACTGCCAGATGCTGCTACTAGGCAAACAAAGCATAGCTAATTACATCATACTCTGCCAAGCATTTTGCTGGCTACTTTGAGAAACAATGCCGGACGAAGAGCCAGCCTGTGTGGCCTTGGGCAAGCTGCACAGTCCCCAATTGCCCCCCCCCCAGAAGAAGGGAATGCTGGAGGGACCCTTGGTCTGATCCAGGCTGGCAATTCTTCTACAGATCTGACAGCCAGAAAGGAGCTGGGGCTGAGAAGACCATGGCTATCCCTGCTCAAAGTCTTGAGTCTTGCTGTTTCCAAAAAGCAGGGTTGTGACTTCATGGCTAATGTACTGTTTACAGAAATTCAGCAGCATTTGCTAGCTGATGTTGCGAACCAAGGCTAAGTCTAGCTGGCTGGTCTCTCACCTACGATGGTGTCGCTGCTGCTGAGGGTGAGGAGCTGGGAAGTGTTAATCCTGAGCTTGCTGGGGAAGGCAGTCAGATTTTCGAGGGCTGGCAGAGCCGACCCCACTGCAACCTACCTGTGGAGTAGACAGCCCAGACTCTTTTTAACACTCGCACCGTTCGAGCTAATAATTCACACGCACAGGAATGAGTGAGAGAGAGCTTTGGGTTTCCGGTGCTTGCAAGAGAGAGGATACAATCCACTGTTCGCCTATTTGGCACAGAAATCCTACTGAACTGAGCGAGATCTACTTTCCAAGTAACGCCGAGGGGAAGTACGTTGCAAATCTCGGAAACTGAATGTGTTGCCTTGAGTTCAGAAAAGGGGCTGTTAAACCAGAGCGACGATGCTGCCCAAGGGGGCTGAATCCCCATCTGTGCCCACAAGTTCAAGATAACGGTAACATGTCTTGATGTGTTGCGCATTCACGGAGAGCTGGGTTGGTCTGCACCCTTCATGGGACGCTCATTCCCCACACACACACACACACACCAAGGATTGCACAAGCGGGTTCAGGCAGGCAGGCAGCCCCCCCCCTCCGCTTGTGCCTGTTTGCCTCCCCCTGGACCACAGTAGTTTCTGGGCAGAACAACAGGTCAGTAGTAATAGGTCTTGGTGTGTGAAGGGAGAGCCCCTGGGTCTCATTGTGGGACTGGGGAAGGTTTGCTGGTTTGCAGAAGGAACAGCAAATTGTTCTTTAAGGGACACCTTTCCCTCGATCAAAGGAAATATCCCCTGACTCGCCCTCTTTCTCTCTTCCTTTCCTTCTCTCTCTCTCTCTCTCTCTCTCTCTCACTGTCTCACACACATATCCATGGCTGCAGGGACACAGAACATCCTTCCCAAGTCCAGCAAGCTCCATGGAGCAGACATCCCATGATTCTCCCCCTCTCCCGCTTAGACTTCCCGGAGACCTCTGGACAGAACCGAGCCTCTAAATCCAGGGAAGAGGCAACCTCTTTCCCCCGCCGCCTCCCGTACAACATCTTTTTTATAGCGGAGCCCGCGGAGACCTCCCGAGCGGCGCCCGAGCCCCCCCCCCGCCTCGCAACTCGTCGGGAGATCTGCGCGGAGACCCCTTCCTTTCCAGGGGATCGGGGGGGGGCACCCACTCCTATTCGGAGAGTCTCGTGGAACCTGTGCCCCCCCCAATAGCG